ATTCTAGAAAATTTAATTTTAAAAAACTCCGAAGAATTAAAAATCACTTATCACCATTTAAAATCTATTTCCTACAAATTTTATTATGTATATATCTCTACACACATAGAAATCCAACAGAAATCCAGCTTAATCCTACATGTGCCTGCTGAAATGGCAGGGCGACAGTTAGGGAAGAGGTATCAGACAAATACTTAAAAGGAAAGGATAAGAAGATGAGAGCCACTGTTTGTCTTAGGTATTAGCTTCTGGGGTTTTCTTGTATTTGTAGAATGAAGTTTTCAAATGGAACCTATGAGGCCTTGGCATTCCTACCCCCATGCCATGACTTTTATTACCTAGATGGTAAATGTGACAATGAATGGGGTGGAAGGACAGGCTTTCTACTTCAACTTCTTTGTGGAACACAACACAGCTTTTATATTTTGATGACTTTAGGAAATGGAAGAAGGTACCCTGAACCCACTGGACTATTCCTAAGCATTCGAGAGGAGAAAACATGGCACTCTTAGACAACAGGACTGTTAATGTGAATACTGGTACACTGGGGAATCCACAAATGGCTTCTGTGGCAGATGACTCAGAAATGAAAATAATAGCTACTATCGAGTGCTTTCTCTGTGCCAGGCAGTGTGTGAAACACCTTTATCTCAACTAATTTTCACTCTATAAGGTGAGCAAATTGAGGCTTAGAGAAAATAAGTGTTTTATACAAGTTCACACAGCTAATAAACGGAGTGTAGAGTTGTACAAGTTTCTAATTCTCAAGCCCAAGCTAATATCATGCTATATATAATTTCTAATTAGGATCTAACATTCCATATGGGTGGTGTTCCATAGTTAACCATTCTATTTTTTTTTTGTGATGGTAAATAATGCTGGAATGAACATGTCTATGTTTATATTTTTGTAAATCATACAATCACTTTTATTATTTCATGATTTTAAAAAACAGTCAAAGGACTAAAAACATTTTTAAGGATCTAGATACAAAACACCCAATAGTCCTACAAAGACTGTGTCAATTTATACTCACAGGAGTAAGGAAGGAACCCATTTCCACAACCCCATTAAAAAAAATTTTTTTTTATTTGATGGGCAAAAGAGGTTTAAATTGTATTTGTTACATTAAGTGATGTTAAACTTTTTCAGGTAAACTGATAATATATAGTTTTCATCTCTATTTGAGACCCTTCATTTGTAAGAGCTCATTATTGTGACTCTGCTATATGCTGTATAGTTACCCCAAATTTAAAGCTTTGCATCATCCCTAACTCAGCTCTAATGATCAGTCTGTTGATAAAAGGCTATTTCTGGCTTATTCTATGATAACAATAATTTCTGTGGTTTTCTACAATTTACCAAAGCATTAAGTATCATCTATTGTAATTGCTCATCTCCTATCTCCTCCACTAGACCGCATGACTGCACATTCCTCGGAAGCGGGGAGTTTTGTATCTTCAAATAATGCGGCAGTGAGGCGCGGTGGTATGCGCCTGTAGTCCCAGATTCTTGGAAGGCAGAAGTGGGAGGATTCCTTGAGCCCAGGAGTTTGGGGCCAGCAACATAGTGAGAACTCATCTCTAATAATAATTTTAAAAATTAAAAATAAAGAACATAGCAATACTTAGTATCTGATAATGTTCAATAAATACTGAATGTATAAATGAATGATTAAACCTCTTTCCTCTAACACTGTGGTCCCCCAGGTCCCCCCAGTTCTACAGAAAAGTTGTCTTCCATCTTCCATAAAACTGTTCCCTGGTGCCAAAAAGGTTGGGGACCACTGCTCTAATACATATTTTCAAATAGGAAAATGGCCGAGCACAGTGGCTCGTGCCTGTAATCCCAGAGCTTTAGGAGGCCGAGGCAGGAGGAATCATTGAGGCCAAGAGTTCAAGACCGGCCTGGACAACACAGCGAGATCCCACTCTACAAAACATAAAAAAAAAGAAAAACTGCCAGATGTGGTGGCACACACCTAGAGTCCTAGCTACTTGTGAGTCTGAGGTGGGAAGGATTACTTGAGCCCAGACATTCAAGGTTGCAGTGAGAAATTGTGTCACTGAACTCCAGCCAGAGCAACAGAGTGAGACTCTGTCTCAAAAAAAAGGAATGCATCATAAGTAGAATTCTTTAGTTATCTCTGTTGGTGCTCTTGGGCCCTAGTAAAACAAGGATTTGAAAGAAACAAGGATCATGAAAAGTCGAGCTTTTGTTTCCATCTTAAAAGGAACAGAAATAAGATGGCAATTTTATACATTTGAAGAGTGAAAATGTGTAGAAATGTTAACAATTTTGTTTTCTTTTTGCATTTGTAGAATCACAAAGAGGCTTTGTCTCTCCCTTCTTTGAACCACAACTGAAATTTTAATTCCTTTCATGGCACTCAAGTCACTCCATTTATTTAATCACTTCACTGCAGGATAAGTTCCTGAAGGCAGGGACTTTTCTTGTCTGTTTTTGGTGCAATGCTTTTCATAGTATTTTGCAAAGAGTAGAAATTCAAAAAATACCTGTTTAATTGAACCAAATGTTCACACTAACTTTAACATTAGACTGTATGATTATGACTAAATATTTACTGGAAAAAAATTCATAGTCTCTAGGAGTAAAGAGTAATATACTAGTACAATGATGAACCCTGAGTATATAAAATTTAATTCCAGAGCACATGGTGAAATGACAACATTTAGTATTAATCAGGCAAATAATTCCTATGTAAACTCTACCAAAATTTCTGAGCTCAGAAAGCTGGAAATAAAGAAAAATCTCACCTGATCCTCTTTTGCTCTGTCAGGTCACCCTCACTAACCAACATCGCTGATAATAACCGAAGAGTTGAATTGGCAGATTTAGACTGGTTGTTTTTCATACCCAACAGCCACCTTACCAGAAGTTTAATTGCCTGTACCTATAAAATATTAACATGCTAAAAAAAGAAAGCAACTTAAAATTCCAATTAAAGGGAAGATCAATTTATACTAACTAGATTAATGAGATTATTTATCCTCAGCAGCAGCCACGTTTTATTAAACAAGTCTACTGGATAATAACAGTAATAATAAGAACTACTAGGTATTCTGCATTTAACCTGCACCACACACTTTTCTTAGAGCTATACATGTATTAACTTATTTAATATCCCACAAAACTCTATGAGGGAGGTAGTCTTTTTTCCTAATAGGTAAGGCAACTGAGACACATTACTGTGATAATTTGCTCAAAGTCTGGATGGATACAGAACTCAGGCTTTTCACACTTAAACACTTGTCTAAGATTTTTAGATTATTCAAAAATATATACTTTATATTGATTACAGTGATTAAAAACAATTTAGATAGGCTTTCATATTTTTTGTAGAACTGAAAAACTACTTTGAAGAAACCATCAAGTTTGATTCTGTCTCACTTGTTTTTTCTGACCAAAAAAATTGGCATTTCCATATTATTTGTAGTCATAATTAGTTGGAGACCTCTACTCAGAAGACTGTTACCAGTATATGTGAAAAAACTGGCCAAAAAAATTTAAGTAGTATTCACTATATATTTATTGACAACCTAGAAAAAAGGAATTGATAGAATATATGAAGACAATGAAGCTACACAAAGAGAAACAGATTATCAAAGATGATATAATCTCTTATTTTAAATCCCAAACCCACTTTAAAAATCACCTCACTGAGGTTTAATTTATATCTATCAAATGTCACCAATTTGGTGATAATCATCTATCTTTGCCAAGTTAATATTCATATGTTTGTAGATAGTAGTGGTGGGGTTAGGCTTGAGTTGCTTTGAGCATCAATATTCTACAATCAATCTCTGTGTAAGACAGCCTCGATGAGACTGTTTTAACAGGCAGAAGACACTGATGTATATGTATGCAATAAATAATAACAACTACAATATCCCCGAGAAACAAATAACTTTTTGCTAAGGATTTTAAGATAAAGTACTTCATTAAAAAATGCTTGTTAACTATTAGGTTAAAAAAAAAAAAAAGGATACCTACAAACGTTCCTTTTTTCAACATAAAGGTTATCAAGACCTACACAAATTTACCTTTGCCAGTACTTCAGGGGAAACCTCTTCATCTGGAGACCATAATTTTCCATTCTTTTCACCTGTAGACTGTAGACAATTGAATAAATTTAGCTTTTAGAAAGAAAAAATTTTAAGTTTTTGCTCATTAAGTTTTTCATGCTAATTAACACAGGCTCTGAATAACCTATAGGAAACTCATGAACCAGAACTTAGAAAAGAACAAAGTTGGAAGATGCATACTGTCCAATTTTGAAACTTACTATACCTATAGTAATCAAGATAGTATGGCTGGTACAGGCATAAGAATAGACATATTGACCACAGGAACAGAATAGAGAACCCAGAAAACACTTGTATATATGGCCAATTTGTTTTTTACAAGGGGGCCAAGACCAATCTTTGGGAAAAGAACAGTCTCTTCAACAAATGATGCTGGAAAAACATATCCACAAGCAAAAGAATGAAGCTGGACCGCTATCTAATATCATATACAAAAATTAACTCAAAATGGACCATCTTAATTTAAGAGCTAAAACTATAAAACTCTTAGAAGGTGACATAGGGGAAATCTTCATGATCTTGGATTTGGCAAATATCTGACAAGGGTTTAATATTCAGAACATGTAAAGATCTGTTAAAACTTAGCAATAACAAATAATCCATCTAATTGCAAAATGGTACTGTAAAATTAAAAAATAATGCAATTAAAAGTGGGTAGAGCACTTTAATAGATAGCTCTCCAAAGAAGACATACAGATGGCAAATAAACACACAGAAAAGATCCTGAACATACTATTCATTACTAAACCGCAAATTAAAACCACAATGAGATATTACTTCACATCTACTAGGATGGCTATCATTTTTAAAAAAAGGAAAATAACAAGTGTTGTTTAAGATGTGCAGAAACTGGAACCCTCATGCTTTGCTGGTGGGAATGTAAAATGGTACAGCCACTGTGGAAAATAGTCTGGTGGTTCCTCAAAAAGTTCAATTATAGAATGACCATGTGATCCTGCAATTTTACTCCTAGGCATATACTCAATTAATGAGAAAACAGGGACTCAAATGTTCATATCAGTATTATTCACAATAGCTAACCGGTGGAAATAACTCAAAGGTCCATCAACAGATGAACAGATAAATGTGGAATATATTAACATACAAGGAAGATTATTCAGCCATAAAAGGAATGAAGTTTGGATACATACAACAACATGGATGAGCCTGGAAAACAGGCCAAGTGAAATAAGCCAGACACAAAAAGACAAATACTATATAAGAGATATCTAGAATAAGCAAATTCATACAGCCAGAAAGAATAAAGGTTACGAGGGGCTAGGGTAGGGCGGAATGGGGATTTATTGCTTAAAGAGTACATAGTTTCTGTCTGGGGTGATAAAGTTCTAGAGGTGGATGGTGGTGGTGATTAGGCAACCATGTGGAGATATATATATAAAATGTCAATGAATTGCACAGTTAAAGTGGCAAATTTTACATTACATATATTTTACTATAATAAAGACTCTTAAAATATGACCTATCAACAATTAAGTCGCCATCTCAGAGGTGTCTTAAATTTCACATTTGTTGACAGCCACATCTATCAAGAGTGCACACAACAGCATGGATGTGTGGGATGGGAAATGAGACCTAGGTCATGTTCTTCCCTCCTTGTCTACTGCATTCAAAAGGTGGGGGATGTGGGTACAGAAGGTGCACTAGAGGTGCCTTTCTTTTTAATTTCCTGATACTGAGGGCTCAAGACTACTAGAATATGTGGGTGGGTTAGAGATGTTTGGATAAGTTGGATTTGTGGTCAGTAAGCACTTAATTGAAAGTCATATACAATAACCCAGCACATAAGAATAGTTTGTGTCTATTCAATTACTCTCTAATTTAGATACATTTGGTAAAGTAGTGATTCATAACCAAGAGGTGTTTCAGAAATCACTCAGGGAGAGTTTTCAATATATACATTCATGGGTTCAAATTCACAGGTAATAAATCAGAATATATACACACACAATTCAATGAATCTAGTGCCAAAAGTGCAATGTAGTCAAAAAACTAGTCAAAAATCAAACCTACTTACATTTTAACAATGTTTAATAAAACAAAATTCAAGCACTCCAGAAAATTGTAAACTGTACTTCAAAGGTCAGGATAATTAGCATCTGACTTACATATTTTATTTAATGATTCTCCCATCTCATCTTCTCATTTTTTCTTTCTTAAATGTTAAGTTCTATCAATAGCTACCCTGAAATCAGGAAGTCATTTGGAAATAAATAAATAAGAAGGGCTAATATACAATAATTTAAAAGGAAAAGAGAATTTATTATAGAGAGAAATGGAAGTGTTTCTGTGATAAACAAAGATGTAAACAGTCTTAATCTCACAATTCTAAATTTAATAAATGAGGAACTTACCCTGTCATTCATTAGCAGATCTTTCACAATAAAATTTGCTACTACAGATTTCATTGGGGAGGCAAACTGATCTGGTGCTAACATAGAAATGTGGCCCAATGAAACTAATGGAGTTATAAGTTGTTCTGGTACATCAGCATTCAGACTCCTACTGAGTGGCTATCAAAATAAAACAGACAAAATTACCCATTTGTTTCATAAACATACAGACATTCTACAGAAACAGTAAATTTTCCTGAGTCCTCCTGAATCTATTATGCCCAAACCAATCTGTTTTAATGATATAACTAACTTCAACCACATTAGACACTTGCTTCTTAATTCACCTATTAAAATTTTATGACTGACATAATGTAGCAAAAAAAGAAAAAAAAATAAAGCCTATTAAAAGAAGTAAAAACAAGAATGTTTCTGATTCATCAGATCAGCATTATTTTCAACCCATCTACAACAAAAAGTTTGCTATGCTGGTGAATTTCTTATCCTGTCGGACATTTTAAATGACCTTAAATCATAAAAATAAGAATTCACTGGGTTCTGTTCACACTGTCTCCAATACCTTTCTAACACAAAATCAGGCCAAAGAGTACATGTAAAGAAAGGGAAACAAGATTAACTTTCAGATAGGGTTGTTAGGTACTTTAAACTGGGTTGTTAAAAGCCATCTACTAAACACTTTCTGAGCATAAATGGACAACTGAACCTAAAAGGCTAAAATTAAGTAAAATGTTCTAACACAGACATACAACATCCTTCAATATGAAGCATTTGAACATATAACCTGACCTAAAGCCTGGAAATACATTGCTGAATAAAATAGACAGAATCCCTGCTCCCAAGGAATTTATGTTTTAGGGTAGGACTACCTATAAATAGCTTAAAAAAAAATTAGCTCCCATCTTCATCAAACCACAAAGCTTTAAAAAATAAAGACCAATATAAACACATCCTATGTCTTATATATACCTCAAAAATCTGTGCAAGCTGGACTTCTTTATTTGAGAATATGGCGTGTATACAGTGCACAGCCTGTTTTGCTTGGTGTGGAGTACCCCTCTTTGCTTTTTGATGTAAAATGGGAATTAAGGTCCTGCAAAAAAAATATATAGTTTTTTTTTTTTAAAGTCCATAAACCAACAAATATTCTTTTGGTTGTCTCCCATTTCCCTTATTTGGATGTATGCTAGTAGAGAAGCCTCTCCTAAAATTTATCTGATCTATAGAAAGATTTAAAGCTCCCTCTCTGTCCCCAAGTAGAATCCAAGAAATACAATACCTCAAGAAGAAGGTTACTTCAGGAGACAATTTTCATTTTAAAGCTACCTCACGAATATAGAAAAAGAACAAACAAGCCACCCTTAATTTATAATCTAAAGCTTGTCCCATGACCTATTTTTTACATTTACACTCTAAGTAGGTATTCCTAATTTTGTAGCTCCCTTTTATAAGCCCCTTCAGTTATTTCAAAGTAGCCACGGAAAAAGAATAGCAAAAGGCCAAGTTTTATTAAACACCTGAAATATTAATACCAGTGAAAGAAAATATGCAAAGACACAGACACATATTTATTGGCAGAATGGTAATAAGACCACCTGAACATATCTATACCTAATAAGAAAAATATCTAATTATTGAGTACACGTGCCAGGCATCATTCTAGGTGTTTTTTACCTGCATTAATTCACCTAATGTTCGTAACTATCCACACTGGACTATTTTAACGCCATTATACAGATGAAAAAAGTGAAGCACAAAGATGTTATTTAAGCCTCCTAAGATGACAAAGGAAGGAAATGGTAGAGTTGGGATTTGAAGATAACCATTTCTTCCAAAATCCATACATTTAACCTCTCTGCTGATATGGAAGAGTAATCTAAAACTGTCTTCCTATAAAATATGGAAAAATGTATTACAGTCTTAAAGCATTAAATATAGATGAAATGGAAAAAAATTAGAATGAAGAAAATAACATGTTTATATGAACCTGTAAGAAACAAGACATACAGATCAAGTAGATGAACATTCATAAATGTTATACATATCAAAATATTAATAGTGAAACTGTTCCTTAATATTTTCCAGTTTCAGTGTTTTACAATGACCTTAGAAGTATTTACATAATCAGAAGAAAATTTGTAAGACAAAATAAAAATTTAAGGAAAGATACTTGGCATACACTTAATACAATTAGAAAAGATCCTGTTTTATAGATTATAAAGTCAGTTATATCAAATGCAATGGTGACATTGGCCCTCTTATGATAATGAAAGGCTAGATATCAAAAGGAATACTGCAGGCCCCAGGCCATGCACCTCAACCAAAAACTGGAATGTATGCTAGTTAGTACAGGTTTGATTTGACATTTGTGATTTTGCCTCAAGTTTCTTTCTATGGAGGTTTGGGATTAGGAGTCAGGGGTTTCCATGCTCAACTAGCCTTCCTTAATTAAGCTCTTGATTGAGCTTCTAAATAAAAGTTGTCTTTCCTCTCCCCTGTTTAGTCTTCCTTTCACAAACTCACTTTCCTGAGTAACATTTCTTGGAACACTTGTGAGTAACAAAGTAAGATATACTTTTTTTTTTTTTTTTTAGACAGAGTCTCATTCTTTTGCCCGGGCTAGAGTGCCGTGGCGTCATCCTAGCTCACAGCAACCTCAGACTCCTGGGCTCAAGCGATCCTTCTGCCTCAGCCTCCCAAGTAGCTGGGACTACAGACATGTGCCACCATGTTCGGCTAGTTTTTTCTATGTATTTTTAGTTGTCCAATTAATTTCTTTCTATTTTTAGTAGAGACGGGGCCTCGCTCTTGCTCAGGCAAACAATCCGCCCGCCTCGGCCTCCCAGAGAGCTAGGATTACAGGCGTGAGCCACCGCGCTCGGCCAAGATATACTTTTAATCAAACTGTTATTAATTTTTCATAGCCAAATGAAATGATAGAAAAATCAACTTTAACCTCTCTCTTTTCCTAGAGTGCTACAATCCAATGATGCCATCAGGATTATTACTGAAGTGCTTAATATTGTGCTTTTCTGCTTTCCAGTTATTATATCCTTCCTTTCCCATTGGTCTAAAGAAAAGGAGGTTTTATTCCTTATATCCAAAGTTAACTCTTCCACCTATACCCATCTTTCTTCTGCTTCCTTTTGTTTCATGACTTATTTTTTTATATTTACCCTCTAAGTAGGTATTCCTAATTTTGCAGTTCCTTTTTCTAACTCTATCCCTTAAAAAATGTATAGTTTTTCCTACCTTGAAAAACTCACCAGAAACTTTATCCCACTGTGTATAAAGTCTATTATCTCTAGAATATAAACTCCTTAGGGCAGGGACTAACTGTCGTAATTCTTTTGTATTAGCCAGTACAGTACTGAGAATGAAGAGAATGTATAAGAAATATTGAATTATTTCACAAATTGAACTATTGGCTCACAAATTTAATACAAACTTTAGGAGTCTACTTGTCCTATTATCATCTTGTGAAGAAAAACCAGTATGTATTTGGATATACAATGAACTACTTGCATACACTCTGAACACCTGATTCAACAGTTATCAGCAATGTATTCTTTCTCCAAAAGATGTCTCCTAGATATTTTAAGTATAAATATAAACTCTAAGCACAAGTTTGACCCTAACAAGATTCCAAAGTGAAAATACCAAAATGTACTTCATTCTTATGAGAAGAAAGCTGATCTAGAGGAAGTGGTCAAAGTAACAAACATATCACTGTCAACAACCAAGCAACTAATAAATATTTTACTAAGCACATTATTTGATTGCCTTATTCTTTGGTGGGTTAGGAAGGTGGTAGTTATTGAATTTATAATACAGTTAGAAAAAGATGAATATATACAGATTAGAAAGATATATTAATCACAAATATAATAAAACACGAAATTCTGTGATAACTTTTGATTATTAATATCTTAAAATCATTCTGTGATAAACAGCTTCAGTTTGTTACTCTACCTATATTCTAATGGTGGGGGAGGGATGTGAGGCAAGGGACAGACAAAACAGAGGAGGATACAGAAAAGTAGCTTCTAAATAAAAGTTGTCTTTCCTTTCTCCTAGCTTCCTACATGAAAGGAAAACAATGATTCCATGGCTCCCATACTTAGCAACCTTTATGTTTACGAAGAGAGAAAATACACTCACGATCGTATCTGGGGAAGGTCTGTTTCTATTTTGTGGCCGGTATTTCTAAAAATTTGTATAGCAGCTTCTGCCACTTTGTCATCTTCCATTCTTAGGCACTGTAACAAGGACTCATACGTCTCTGCAGAGTGGAACGAGGTAGGGTGTGTGAAAGACAGAACCTGGAGGAATAGATACAGCTTTAGAAGTACAGACAATGGTTTTAATCCATTAAAAAAGGAGAATTACTTTCCGCAATAAATAAAATTTAAAATTCCAGGGTACATATGCTAGCTACACAGAATAGAGATTACATCTCTTAGTCTCCCTTGCAGTTAGTTGTGGCTAATGACACATTAACAGAAATACTATGTGGTAGCTTCCAGTTACTTCCTGAGACAGTTGATACAGCCTCTGCCCTATTTTCTTCTTCACCTCTTACTCTATTCTGCTACTTAGAATGCAAAAAACATGGCTCCATTTTTAGAGTGTGATTTCCAATATTAATAACAATTATCAGTTTGAAAATATATTGTATTTAGGTAAAGGAATGTGTATAGTTGAAATAAAAGCTCCATACTTAGTGACTCAATCTTTGTGTAATGTAAACAAAATCCTGAGAGCTTTATTTGACTGGCAAAAAGAAAATCTATGAGCAAGTATTTTAAGTGAAATTTATCAAAAAGTCCTTTTATCATAACTATCAACAAAAACATTATACAATTTTAATTATGATTATAATATATAATTATTCTCTCATTTATTATGACAGGAACCCCAGCCTATCCTTAAGGAATTTTCAGCATGTTATATATGACGTGTCTACAAAGTTTACCTTCTAAAAGTTTAAACAATTGAGTTCAGGAATAAGGGCTTAAAAGTAGAGAGGCAAGGAGAAGAGGGAACCAAGCATTAACTTACTCAATAAACATTTATTTAATGGGTCATAAAATGCAGAGAAATTTGGTGAGGTTTGGAGTGATAATATTTAGTTATGTGATTTTATTTACAGAAAAATGGAAAATTACATTTGAAAAACAATAAAAGTCAATCCATTAAAAACATTTATCTTCACTTGTAAAACTACTTAAAAATAAATCAATTATTAAAAATATAATTAAAATCTTATTCATGGGCATCTTGTCCATTCTTTCAATGAAATGGTATTTAAGATCCATCACTCTCTTTTCTAGCTAGTGTTCATTGCAGTGGTTTGTCTCTCTCCTTCAGTTTATGTTGCAATGGTCCCAGTGTCCCTTTGCTGTCAATATCTTCCCCTCTTTACTCTACTGCAAGCTCTATGACGCGCTGGTTGAAAGCCAGGCTAAAAGCCTCTGAGGGTACCTTTCTGCTCCAGTGGCATTCCACAATCTGGAACCAACCTTTTTCTCCAGTCAGGCCAGTCTCCCAAGGATTTCTCAAATATGCCAAGACCTAGTCCTTTTGATGACATTTGTTCTCCCTAGATTAAGTAGTATTGTGTCCACAAAGTCAAGTCACCTGGCTCTTACTAATTGCTCAATTCGCTGAATTCTTTGGCATCTATTATGATTACAAGTTGTTGAATAATTTGCTAATCAGACATGCCGTCATACAGTAATTACAGTCAGCAGTCCTACTGCCCCAGATGCACGTTCTTTGAAAGTTAACACTAGATTATTTAGCGTACAATGTTACAAGAGTAGCAGGCAAGCAAATAATGAATGAAACAGCAAAACCAAAAAATATTTTATAATGCAAAATAATTATTTTACATGATTCTGACGTAAAAACAATATTTTATGTAATCTGATTTCTAAGACAAATTTTTAATCTTTCAAATAGTTTCCAATGAAATAAGCCTGATTTTTGCATATCCTGAAAGGACTGCCAATTATGACCCTATGGAAATACATGGAAAGAAAACTCTTTCAAAAATACCTTAAGAAGTTCAAGCCCTGAACGAATAGCTGTGTCTGGACTTACACCCTCCTCTTCATCATCTGCTGTCCCCTCTATTGATTTATTCATCAATTTTACTAGTGCACTATTAAAAGAAGAAAATGTAAATTAGTAACAATACTTGATTAATAACTGTATTCCAATTGCACTGTGACAGAATATATACAGAATATTAAAAGATCACATTCAAAGAAGTTTGTGTGGGGAAAGAAGTGAAAATCTGTCTTCTATTTGACAGCTGAGTGTCCTTTTTAGTTTAACCCCCTAAAAAATTTAATGTGTAATAAAACCTCTACTAAAAAATAACAAAACTAAATGATATAACATACTAGTAATATATTTTGTAAGCATAAGCGATTTAATATTCATTTCCATATATAAAGGGATCATTTTCAGTTTCCCGAATGGGCAAATGACAATTCACTCAAAACAAAATACAAATAGTACATATATACATGGACAAATGTATTAAATTAATCACTGGCAATTTACAGAATCAGTAATTTTATTTCTAGAGATTTATAGCAAAAAAGCAATTCATCACTCATAATCAGATTCATCAGTCAGAAATTATATAATTGCCCAAAATCATGGAGTTAGTTTTTCAAACTACTACCACAAAACGGAATATTACCTGGTCAATAAAAATCAGACTATGCAGCAACATTGTACTATTATAAGTTAAAAAAAAATGTGTTTTATTTTGAGATTCTATTTACACATCAGTAAACTGATGAAGGTACTACCTTATTACAAGAATATTAAACTATTACAACAAATAACCTAGTACATAGCAAATATTCAAATAAAGATTTGGGTTAAATTTTTTTCCTTTGGTATTATTTAAGTACAAAATATACATAGGGGCTAGACACGGTGGTTCACTCCTGTAATCCTAGCACTGTGGGAGGCCAAGGCAGGAGATTATTTGAGGTCAGGAGTTTGAGACCAGCCTGAGCAAGAGTGAGATCCTGTCTCTACTAAAAATAGAAAAAATCAGCCAGGTGTGGTGGCATGCACCTCTACTCCTAGCTACTCAGGAGGCTGAGGCAGGAGGATAGCTTGAGCCCAGGAGTTTGAGGTTGCTGTGAGCTATGATGATGCCACTGCACTCTAGCCTAGGCAACAGAGCAAGACTCTGTCTGTAAAAAAGAAAGGAAAAAAAATAGGATACAGATGTTGAAATTTAAACTAATTTTAGCACTTTTATTTCCCCTTCTATATCACAAGATTTAAAAATTCATTAATATCTTCAGATAATACAGTAACTTTTCTTTGAAAAACAACTTGGTAAGTGTGTGTTTGTGAACATTAGCTTTACGTATAATGTATATACCATATAATCTGCCTACTTAAAATGTACAATTTGGTGGTTGTAGAATATTCACAGGAATGTGCAACCATGAGCTCCTTGCTGAACACACTCCCTCACTGTCCTAAGCCAAACCCCTCACCCACCAGCAGTCACTCCCCATTTACTCCCGACTCCCCCCAGCCCTGGGCATTCACTAATCTATTTTCTGCCTGTATAAATTTGTCTATTCTGAACATTCCATATTAATGAAATCATAAAATATGTGGTCTCTGTAACCACCTTTCACTTAGCATGTTCTCGAGGTTTATCCATGTTATAGCATGTATCAGCATATCATTTTTTATTTCCAAATAATATTCCAGTATATGGATATAAGAAAATTTATTAATCCATTCAACAGTTGATGAATATTTAGGTTGTTTCCATTTCTTTTGCTATTACGAATAATGTTCCTGTAAACATTTATGCTCAGGTTTTGTATGAACACAGATAAATATTTTCATTTCTTTTGAGCATGAACTTAGGAATGGAACTACTGGGTCATGTGATAACTCTATGTTTAACTTTTCTGAGGAACTGTCAAACTGTTTTCCAAAGCAGCTCCGCCATTTCACATTCCTACTATTAATAGCAATATATGAGGGTGCCAATTTTTCCACATCTTCACCAATACATCTTTTTATTATAATCATTCTAGTGGTACTGAGGAGATACACACACATGTATATAACATTCCCATATCCCCCAAAAAATTGCCTGATATCCCCCTTTTGCATTCGACCTCTCCCTCTTTCCACACGGGCAACCACTGATTGGTTTCTGTCACCAAGGTTTTCTAGAATTTCATATATTTTGTGTCTGACATTGTCTACATGACATAATGCTTTCAAGACTCATCCATGTTGTTGCACATTATCAGAGTTTGTTTCTATTACTGAATAGAAAGAAACAAAAATTCCATTGTATGAATTTACCACAGCCTGTGGGTACTTCTGGGTACTTTTAGTTTACAGATACTATGAATAAAGCTGCTAAAATAAGTACAAGTCTTTATGAGAGTGTATGTTTTCTTTCCTCTTAGGCACATAGCTAGTACTAGGATTCCTGGGTTGGATGGTAATGTTACGTGGACATTTATTGTTATAAGGAACTATTTTCCGTCTCACCAAGACCTGGTTTGGTGAGTCCATATGGCCCCTCATCAACACTTGGGATAGTCAGTTTCTTTAATTTTAGCCATTCTAGCGGGTGTGTAGTGGTATTTCTCAGTATAATTTCAACTTGCATTTCCCTAATGAGGAATAGTGTTGACTGTATGTATCTTATTGGTAAAGTGCCTGTTCAAATATTTTGACCATTGTAAAATCAAGTCCTTTGTCTTATTGAGTAGTCAGAGTTCTTTACATATCCTCGATATAATCCTTTATCAAATACATACTTTTCAAGTATTTTCTCTTATCTATGGCTTGATATTTTTTTTCTTAACAGTATCTTGCAGAGAGAAAAAAAAGTATTTTTTTCAATGCTTGTGCTTTTATGTTCCATCTAAGAAATCTGTCTAATGTATCTTGTTTTCTGAAATTTTTAGCTCTGATATTATATATTTTCAAAAACTGCTTCCAATTTGAGAAAAAATATTCCAAATTAAGTTTATTAAGAAATCCTATTAAACAATGCATGAATTTAACAAGATTATAAGTACGTTTGAAAAATTTATCAATGTATCTGACTACTTATGATAGGTTCCATGTATACACTTATTTAGTAAGTACTTATTGACTACCTATCATTTTCCAAGTCTTATCGTCTATAATGGAAATACAGAGCAAAACATGACAGAAATCATCTCTGCTTTCACTGCAATGTTGGTAATCACCACTGTAAGTCAAGGAGCCATAAAAAAAAGACCCAAGTCTTAAAACCAGGATTGTAGTCTTACCTGTTATAAGACTACAATCTTTCCTCATTTATACATTAGTTAAATAATATATCCTCCATATACTTCACAGGGGTATCATCAAGCAAAAGTTCATCACCAGACCACCTACCTCTTCAAAACTGCTTGGGAAGTCTGCGTTCCTTTCTCTCCTATGCTGTTCAACAACTGTTACAAACCCTCACCTTTCTAACTCAGGTCTAAATCCTTCCATTGAGCAGACAATCTCATCTTTAGCATAAGGGAGAATAATGGAGTCCTTGAGTAAAAACTCTTCTAATTTTCCAGACTTTATCTTCTACCTTCCTTTAATGTGTGTCTATTATTTCATCATGTCATAAGGTAAGTTGTCCTTCTTCCTGTTCTGCTTCCTTAGGAATGTTGCTCCATCATAGTCATATTCCCCTTCCCTCATCTTCGATTTCTTTTCTTTTCAATAATATTCAAAATTCTTTAGTTAAAAACAACAGCAAGACTCTTCTTCATGCTTACTCCCTTTCCATTATCTCCTTTTTCTCCCCCTTCCTCCTTTTTTTTTTTTTTGACACACGGCTTTACTCTGTTGCCCGGGCTAGAGTGCCGTGGCGTCAGCCTACCTCACAGCAACCTCAAACTCCTGGGCTCAGCCTCCCAGCATGCGCCACCATGTCCAGCTAATTTTTTCTATTTTTAGTTGCCTGGCTAATTTTTTTCTATGTTTTAGTAGAGACGGGATCCTCACTCTTGCTGAGGCTGGTCTCGAACTCCTGACCTCAAGTAATCCTCCTGCCTCAGCCTCCCAGAGTGCTAGGATTACAGGTGTGAGCCACCACGCCTGGCCCTCTCCTTTACTTTTTATAGCTAAACTGTATACACTGGTCGTCCGCCCATTTCAGTTTATCTCCTAAAACAGAGTTTGGAAGTGTGACAAGGTTATTGATATCTTTGATTGTCTCAAACCTCAGGGTAGCCAAGTGGGACCTAATGGGTTCCTACTGAGCTAGGCCAGTTAACACCAGGCTTGAGCAGTCTTCTCTGTTCAAATATTATCTATCATTTTCTCTGTGTACCATAATGTAGATGTTGGGAAGCACTGTCTGATGTCTCTCTGAATCCACGGTACTCTGGATTTGCCCCTGCTACCTCACAGAAACTGTTCTGACCATTGTGATTTTTTTCCTTTTCCTAATCTGACCCCTCCAGCTTTTAGGCTCTCTTTTAGCTCCTGTGACATCACTTTTTTCTGATTTTTACTTTGCCCCCCTCAAAATTTTTTTTTAAACAATGAATTCTGTATCTTCCGGTAGACCCTTAATTACTAATTTCCCTGAGGATTTGGTCTTCCACCTTTTTCTTTTTAAAACTTTACCCTCTCTCCTAGGTTTCAACCATTATCACAATGACTACTTCATTTTCAAACTACCTATAGAACATTAACTAACTGTAGCATATGTACATTAATTTCTATGGATATATATGTCTGGGGGAAAAAACTTAGGAAATAAAAGGTTACATTTAGAATGATTTTCTACTATCCCCAATCCTTGCTTTCAAAATCCTATATTTCTGTTAAAGTACATGCAATTTTAAAAATATTTCTTGATTGCTTTTCCTTTTATTCTTTTGTATCTGCTAGTTTTTGTTCCTGGAATCGTTACTAACATTTATTCAGCACTTAATATATGTGAGGCATTATGCTAAGAGTTTTACACATTCATATATTATTTAAGCCTTTTGATAACTCTAGTGAGTAGTAATTATTGTTGTCCTTATTGTAAAGACGAGGAAACGGAAGCTCAGAGTAGCTTAAATAATGTATCCTAGGACACAGGGCTGCTTACCTGCACCACACTTCCCCTGCAATCCTCACTGGGATAATCCCTATAATTCCTACTATCTTTCACTACGCATCCTAACTGCTGCATTATTTCAGGAGCCTTTGCTAACAATTAACCCATCCCACACAAGTTGGGTTATGTAATCTTCCCCAATTACTCAATGTACTTTACAAATCACTCCATTTTAGTAAGTTTATGTTAAATGAATAAATCTTATATCTGTAATTTAATATTCCATGAAGATTTGATTACATGGAAGGATTATATGACTTATTTCTCACTAAAATTTATAAATTGACATTTGCATAAAATTATTCTATTAGAAATCTTAACCATAAGTTGCTTTCTCTGAGCCCAAACAACTCATGATGCTACTGAAAAAACTGAGTTTTTGGTCTTTTCACAGTGGAGATCTAACACTAGCTCATAATTTGCTGAAGTAATGAAACCCGGTGAGGCTTCATGGGGGACTTGATTTCCTAATGCTATTACATGTCTCTTTCAAAGTTAATATGTGTAGGCAAGAGTGCCTACTTTTACTGTATTATACCCTTGATCTATCCTATTAAAATCAAATGGTTAATCCTAGCACTCTGGGAGGCCGAGGCCGGCGGATTGTTTGAGCTCAGGAGTTCGAAACCAGCCTGAGCAAGAGCGAGACCCTGTCTCTACTAAAAATAGAAAGAAATTAATCGGATAACTAAAAATATATAGAAAAAATTAGCCGGGCATGGTGGCGCATGCCTGTAGTCCCAGCTACTCGGGAGGCTGAGGCAGAAGGATTGCTTGAGCCCAGGAGTGTGAGGCTGCTGTGAGCTAGGCTGACACTATGGCGCTCACTCTAGCCCGGGCAAAAAGAGTGAGACTCTGTCTCAAAAAAAAAAAAAAAATCAAATGGTACAGAGCAAAGGACAATGACATGGAAAATAACACATACATCTAGGTTTAAGTTATGATTTTTGACAATACTCAGCTGTGAACAGACCAATGATTCCCTTAAAACTTTATATCCTTAGTTTCCTTATTTGCAAGTAAGAAAATAAAAGGATAAGGAAATCTTTTTAAAGTAGTCAATTCTGACTTGATTTTTGTATACTGGTGAATGATAGGGGTCTACTTTCATTCTTCTGCATGTGGCTTTCCAGTTTCCCTAGCACCATTTATTGAAGAGAGTGTCTTTTCCCCATTGTATGTTCTTAGCACCTTTGTAAAAAATTAGCTGGTTGTAAAAGCATGGATTTGTATCTGGAGTCTCAGTGTGACAGAGGCCTTCTGCAAGTCAATGAGAGAGGTTTCAGAAAAAAAATCAAACTTGTTGATATACCTTGATCTTAGGCTACAGCCTCCAGAACTGTAAAAAATTATTTCTGTTGTTTAGGCCATCCAGTTTTTGGTATTTTGTTATGGCAGCCCTAGCAAACTAATTCAATCAGTATGTGATACAACCACAGCAGTGATTTACATAACGTGAAATAATGGCTTGGGCACTAGAACTGATTCTGAATTCTAGGCTGTTTGGAAAAGAACCAAATACTACTTAACCCAGCACAGAAAGAGATATATAGCGTATCCACTGCAAAAATGACTAATGTAAGAGAAAATCACCCACCGAAGTTTATAACAGGAAATCATTAGAACCACCTGAAATGTCTGAAATTATGGGAATAGTTAATAAAAATCAATTGCTGTCATTTAATGTTTATGATGGTAAGCTGCTTACTCTTTCTGTCATCCAGGCTGGATGGAGTACAGTGGTTCCATCATAGCTCAATGCAGCCCTGAACTCCTACACTCAAATGATTCACCTCAGCCTCCTGGGAAGCTAGGACTACAGGCACCTACCACCATGCCCGGCTAATTTTTTAAATTTTTTGTAGAGATGGGGTCTTGCTATGTAGTTCAGGCTGGTCTTGGACATCTGCCTCAAGCAATCCTCCTGCCTTGGCTTCTGAAAGTGATAGGATTATAGGCATGAGCCAGTGCCTGGCCTTAGGCTGCTTACTTTTTAAATATTATCTCTAATTCTCATAATCATCAAATGAGATTTGTATACCCACACTGAAGTAGAAAATAAATGAAAACTCAGATAAACTAGAGTTTTTCCAAAGCCACGTTTACATTTGAAACCAGATTTATCTAATGACAATCTTGTCCTCTTTTCTACAACACACATTCTGTTCTGAGACATCAAGTGAACAGTGCTATAATACGTGCTACAGAATATTATGTGGCCATTAAAATGTTTTCAGAAAATTCAGAGGTTGGTTGATATCCACATAGATCTAAAATTTTCTTCTTTCTACCTATCTCTATGTTCTAGGTTTTCTTTAATGAGCACAGATAAGCTAAAAATAAACACAAGAACGCTTCAAAAATGAACAGCATTAATTAAAGCCAAAGATCATAAAAGTGAATAGAACTTTCAAGCTGAATGATGTATGCGTCTGCCATTACAAAGAGGTATTCTGAGAAGCTTTTTAAGTCTGTTTAGGGGCCCAAAATTTGAATTTACTACACTGTTGTTTCATATTAAAATCTATTTTTGAGAGAATTTATTTCCTAGCTTACCTTATGGCTTCTGAATCAATGTGCACAGGTGCAATTCTTTCCAACAGAAATTTGACCATCTCTAGAAAAGGATTTGTTGGCTGCTTAGGATTTGCAAGTTTCCGGGCTATTTCTCTCTATAGAAAGAAAATAGTTTTACCATAAGTATGATTTGTTTCCATGTTTTTCAAAATAAAAATGATTGATAAAAAAGCATTTAAAGATTCAAAGCCAGCATAATTGAAAAAAAGTTTTCTGTGTTAGACCCTGCCTAAAATTTATGCATTCATTGAGCAATCACTGCAAAACCTGGACAGTGGAGAACAGAAAGGGAATGATGTGGTCTCTGAGTGAATTCTGCCTTGTCTCATATTTCTCCCATGAAATTATTGTTTAGTGTAACCACATTTTTTAATTCGGAAAAAAATAAAAACAAAACAATTTGCAATTTTATCGGTATGTTTTATTGGTTTTTACTATTTCATAATTTGAAAGAATACTGCATTTTGTTTCAATTAATTTCACTT